TTCACTCATTTTAATTTAATACTTTGTTACAATTTGTGTTTCTTTATTAGATCTTGAACTATTTTATATTGCTATTTTATTTCCCATTCTTATCAAGTAACTTGTATCTCTATGATGTCACGGATGAAGTTAGGAAGCTAGGAACAAAGGAATTGATTTCTGAAATTGGAGCGTGCAAAATCTGGTGCAACTTTGCATAGAAACCAATCAGCTTCCAGGTATTTTGTCAAAGCTTAATTGATCAAGATGAAGCTAGATGCTGATTGGCTACCATGCAGGGGCGGACTGACCATTTGGAAACTCGGGAAATGCCCGAGGGCCCGGGGTCAGTAAGGGGCCCCATGAGATGCCCCTGGTACCTTTTTCATAGGCTTTTTTGAGTTTGGGCAAGGACACAGGGGCCCCATGATCCCCTATTGCCCGGGGGCCCCATGAGTTGTCAGTCCACCCCTGCTACCATGCACAACAGCTCCAGATTTTGCACTCTCCAGTTTTAGTAAACCAACCCCATTATGTACAGGAAATTTGTTATTAGGTTTTATAACAGAAAATTGCTGGTCTTTTTTCATTTACATATTAAAAAAAACCGGTGGTGATCAACAGAAAGCTCTAGTAAACCAACCCCATTTTATGTACAGGAATTTTGTTATTAGGTTTTATAACAGAAACATTGCTGGTCTTTTTTCACTTTTACATATTAAAAAAAACCGGTGGTGAGATCAACAGAAAAGCTCTGTTCCTCTTACCCTGCTGCCATGGTCAAACCCCCTTAAGTGTCCTTTTGGTAAATATAACCCTGGTCAGTGCCAGCTAAATACATACAACAAGAAACTTGCATTTCAGATTTAGTTTTTGTGTGAAATTGTTGAGCAAGGCTGTGGTTTTTACTTGCTACCTTTCTCATTTCACACATAAAATTAAAACCACATGGAACACACAAGGTAATGTTTGAAATGCTTGTGTTTCTGTGTTTTTGCTTACCAATAATCAGCCGTTAAGCTTTTGGAATTGTAAGTCTCCCTCAGCGGTTTTCGACTTAAAAGCTTATCTGACTCCACGCTGGGGGAATGGCACATCTCAGAGATAACGCCCCCTGCTGGATGACACCTGGAAATGTTGTTTGAAATGTTGCAGTTTTACTCCAGGTTACTGCAAGCCAAGAGCTTCAAAGAACGTCATTATATTCTCTATGAAAAAATGATAAAAACAAATATCCATTTTAGTGTGTTGCAGATCAAAGACTTTACTATATCAAAGGCAGTTTCATTTGCATTCTCACTATCACTACTTTCATAAATGTAAGGAAAGAAATGGCCTTTGATTTCAGAATGTGAATTTATGTCTGCTATGCTCACATAGGAGCAACTATAATATTCAGTGCTATTGCCGGGAATATCAAAAATAAAGACAGGCATGCATTTGCAGAACTGACACGGTACACAAAGCCACCAGACAAACTTCAGATGCTGGTAATCAGAGTAGAAGAATCTGATCATAGGCAATAAAGATGACACTTAGCACACACTGATAAAAAGAGTGTCAGCCCTTCATTTGGATGCAATGTTACTTACGAGCAAAAATTTAAATAAAAACCTTCAATGCCTTGACACCCCATGACTCTCACTCAATCACAATAAAAAAAACTGCTAACCAACTTTTTTATGAACTTTTTTTTTTCTTTATGATGGTTCGGTAAAAAAGTCCAGGTCCACCTGCTGGTCTTGTTGCTTCCCCATGCATTGTGACATCATGGTGCTGCAGATTGAAGTCTTCAGTACACTATGGGAACCCATGTAGGCAGGTGGCGCCAAGTGAGGCACTATGGTATTGCTCCAACTAGGTTATACCAAGGAACAATACAGTGATCCTATAATTGTTAGGTCACCTCCCCCTCTTGTTTTAGTAGTAAACAGAGTTGTCACAAGATCACCGCTTACTACTGGCACTAGGGGGAGCCCACAATAACACTAATGTGTCCAATGAACTGGGCACCATCTTGGGGAAGCCTGTGTCACATATTGACACAGCGTTCCTATGAGATTTCAGAGGGATTTTGGGAAACAGGTGCTACTCTGTTTCACCAACAGGCCCTGGACTGGGAAATTTGAGTTAGGGATAGGAAGCCATCTTATCAGGAACAGACAGGGTCCCCAAATGTCTTTCAGATGGATAGGTGAGCAGCCAGGAGGTTCACAACACCTGAAACTAGGAATCCGGTGGGAATCTAGTTGACAAAGCGTGTCACCAAAAGAAAGTTTTAAAACTGCAGAGGTCCAGCTTCTATGGGAAGCCATAGTGCCTAGGGAAGCCCCTTTTGAAAGACTGTTAGCAATAGCTCAGTACTTAAAGAAAATTATAGCTTAATGGATGCATTTTCTGATATATCTCTCTGATATATCTCATATCTCTCATTGCTCTGTAACCGTTGAAGCTGAACCTGTGGCACCTGTACATGTTGATAAACTACCTTTACTGCTTGAGAAGTTGACCTGGAAAGCCTCTTTACTTATAGATCTGTAAATTTTGGTCCTCTGAATAAAAAGATGTTTAGAAAAGTTCCCCGTATGTTCTTCTCCATATGAATGAATTTATAACCAATATACCCCTGCCATCTTCAGAACCCTGTGAGGACCTAGTAATTGAATGCATTTGTGTCATCAGGGAATGATGACATGGGTACTCAAAAAAGGAATCTCCCCTCTGCAGTTTTTTTTTTTTATTTAACCTATAGTGATTAGGGTTGAAGGGGAGGTAAAGTTCAGGGGTGTTTCACGTAAATGGTGAAGAATGGAACGTTGTGGAAACCTCTCTTGTAACTCCTGCCAGGGGCGGACTGACCATTTGGAAACTCGGGCACTGCCCGAGGGCCCGGGGTCAGTAGGGGGCCCCATGAGATGCCCCTGGTACCTTTTTCATAGGCTTTTTTGAGTTTTGGCAAGGACACAGGGGCCCCATGATCCCCTATTGCCCGGGGGCCCCATGAGTTGTCAGTCCGCCCCTGACTCCTGCCCAACACTCCTGAAGATAGAGACAGAAAGCGTGAGGGCATGGAGTGGAATAAGTGCCAGAGCAGTCGCAGGTCTCAGGATAAGATGCTGAAGCAACTTGGCACCAGAGCAGGAGGTGAAAGCAGGTAGCAGTCAGTGATAGCCAGGCAATGAGGGACCAAATCAGCAGGCACAGCAAGTCCAAGAAGCAGCCCAAAGTTAGTAACAGCTGGACAAAGCAGTAAAAAAAGGACAGGCAGAGACAAGTCCAGTAAACAGGCCAATGTCAGGGTAAACAGATGAGCAAGGTAGAGGCAAAGAGCAGAGGCAAAGTCCAGGGAGAAGCCAGGTCATACAAAGGAAGGCAAATATAACAGATCAGGTCTCAGGACATACAGAACAATCTAAAGACTGTTTACTAACCTCTACCATTGACACATCCTTTTAAATAGTTTGCTGGACTCCAAGTGTGCATGCTAATTGCTACTAACACGTGCACACGCACATGCACATTCACCTGATCTTCACAGTGCACAGCACATGTAGTGTTACCCTTTTGTCCAGAAGTACAAGCTGTAATGCATAGCAAAGAGCTGCATTGTGTTCTTGAGAATCCAGCTTACCTTGCAGGGTGAGAGGAGGAAAAGAGTCATGATGGTTGCTGGAGGGGGTAGTTGAGATCATTATTAAAGTAAACCAGTGCTTTGTCTAAGCTGGACAAAGTAAAATATTCACTTAAAGTATTACTAAACCTAGGACCTTGCATTCACTATATCTGGTCTCCCCGGACCCTGCATTCACTATATCTGGTCTCCCCGGACCTTGCATTCACTATATCTGGTCTCCCCGAACCCTGCATTCACTATATCTGGTCTCCCCGGACCCTGCATTCACTATATCTGGTCTCCCCGAACCCTGCATTCACTATATCTGGTCTCCCCGGACCCTGCATTCACTATATCTGGTCTCCCCGGACCCTGCATTCACTATATCTGGTCTCCCCAGACCCTGCATTCACTATATCTGGTCTCCCACAGTACACACAACATGGAAATGCAATTGTTTCAGTAAATAAAAACTACTAAATACATTTTCTTATCAGTATATATCAGTCTTGTGACATCTATCAGTGTCTGGCTGAGCACTGGTTATGAGTGTAGGAGTGCCCTTTTGTAGGAGGAGTTTTCATTCTCCCCTAATTGTCCTATGAGGCTGCAGGACCCCTGCCCCTCTTTCTGGATACTGCTGATTGGCCCTGTGCTGATCACATGTACTCTCCCAAGAAAAAAAAAACTCTCTAGCAATACACACCAAATTGAGCATTTGCAGCTTGCCCCCAAGGCTCTGTTCTATCAGCAGATTGATTGGGGACAGTAGAAGAAGGGGAAAATCAGAGCAGACAGGTTCAAACAGCCTTTTTACACAATATAGAGGATTAACCCCTTAGTTTCCACAGTGAGTATAATATGCATGCTTTACTGCATATACAGACTGATTGTACTGTTGTGGGTTTAGTAACACTAACTACTGTACTTCAAGGCTTCACATGCTCATCTCCTTTTTGCTGCTGTGTTTAGCCACAGAGAGCAAAGGGAAATATGCAGTAAATCTTGTTTTGTTTTTTAAGTGGCTCATTCACCTTGCTCATCAGCTGTTGCTTGGGGATTGACCCAACACTGTCACATACCATTGGGGAGAAAGTCCTGAGCCCCAAGCTTGCTTGCATTATTCCTAACCAAAGGGCTAGATTTCTTCTCTTCTGGCAGATGAACAGAATTATGGTGAAGGTGAAAGCAAGGTGATTATATGCAGGTAAAGGAGGTAAAGACAAAGTGCACCTATTGCCTTGCATGGGAAAACTCAGGATCACATTAACATCCCTGGCGGTATTCCCGAGTGTAGCTCGGGGTAAAGTTTCAGCACCACAAGCGGTAACCCCGAGCTACACTCGGGAATACCCTGCAGCGCTGCTCTGGGATCCCTTCTTCACTTACCTTGTCCTGCGTTCCTGCGATGTCCCTCCTGCAGTGTCCCCGGCCATATCCTCCGGCCGATGCTGGCATCTGTCTTCCAGGTTCCGTTCCCTGCAAACCTCGGGACGTACGGGGACGGAACTGGCAGGAAATTTAAAAATGTCAAAAAGTGACATTCACTAAAATCACATAGTAAAAATATTACTGTATCAAACCATTTCACATACATTTTGTCCCGAGTGCTTTGTCCTGTGCCCTGCCTGCATTTTTACCGTTCTTTCTGCCTGGAAACTGAGAAACGTCCATGGCGTCCAAAAAGCGTCCCTTTAGGTCAAAAGCGGTTTTAGACCAGCTAGAGAACAGCGATAGTAAATCAGAACCACTTGCAGAATTGAGTGATAATGATTTGTGGGGGAAATTCGTCATCAGACACTGAAAATGATTTTGCGACTTTTGCTCAATGATGTGTGAACTTGGCATCCAAAAATGTTTGTTTGCAGCGTTTTTACCGTGTTTTTCCGTGTTTTTCTGCATTAGAGCGTTTTTACAGCTAAATAACTCCTCTTGAAACCTACTAGTTCTGGGGGGTTTTCCAGCCAAAAAACGCTGATTACAGACTATGTGTGCATGGACACATAGGATAACATGTTGGGGAGTTTACTGGCTGTAGAAAAAAACGTCAAAGCCAAAAACAGCAGCTTTAAAAACATCCAGTGTGCATGAGGACTTTAGACTGGCAATACATTATACAATTTTCTTTAGAAAATTGCTTTGGATTTACCAAAAACCATATAATATGAGATCAAACTTGAACAAGACTTTCAATTGTATCCAATTAGGCAGGGCCTTGCACTACATATTTGAAGGTAAATCTAAAGGAAATTGGGCAGAAATTGAACAGAAAATTGTATAGTGTATGGCCAGCCTAAGACCTCCAATGCGTACTTTCCTTTCTGTTCTGTTACTCACACGTAGCTATGGTACATCCAGAGCAAGTGATTCATTTTTCTCCCCAGCTGATACATGGTGGCTGGTCACTCAGACACATGGCACTGTTACACAGGACTGGGGAGACAGTCTTGAGGTTAAGATCACATTAAAGCTGCCCTTAAATTGGGTTGGTGATCTGTGATTTTCACACCCTAAGGCTTACACTGGAATTGACAGCCCTAGCCCTTCAATAGCCATCAATGAAATTCTGCTCATCTCTGTGCTAAATGGAGGTTACTGTAAGCACAGCTCGTGTCAATGCCAAGTCCTCAATTCAGTGGTCCAGAAATGCATACCTCTGCATTTTCTTTCTGCTAATTTGTGCACCTGCGATGACAAATGATTTGCCCTGCAGTAATTTCTGTAGCAATGAACAGAGCTGTGATGACAGAGGCAAACTAACTAGGGTTAAAGCAGAACTCCAGGCAAGAGTCTAGAGTCAAAATATGCAGTAGAAATACATACATATTTACCTGCCCTAAAATATAATATATATGCTCAGTTCCAGACTGCAGAGTATCAATCCTGGTGTAGGAACACCAGACTCCGTAGAGGTATACTATATTGTGGTATCATTGTAAAGACCCTGAAGGCTGCTCTTCATTAACCAGGGGATCAATAAGAAGTTAAAAAGAGGAGGACACCAGCTTAATTTGTGCAGTCTATATGAAGCAGGGGCGGACTGACCATTTGGAAACTCAGGCACTGCCCGAGGGCCCGAGGTCAGTAGGGGGCCCCATGAGATGCCCCTGGTACCTTTTTCATAGGCTTTTTTGAGTTTGGGCAAAGACACAGGGGCCCCATGATCCCCTATTGCCCGGGGGCCCCATGAGTTGTCAGTCTGCCCCTGATATGAAGTTTTATTCCACAAAAATACCAGAAAAGAGTTGTCATTTTCAGGCATCTACTGTAAATTATCTGTACATACCCACTATATCAATACATTAATAATTTCCCTTTGGGATTAATAATGTATTATAAATCTGAATTGAGACTGGCATGAGTGGTGCTGCCCATCACTCTGTCCAGCAGAGCAGGACCTGTCCTGTCCCTCTGCACCGATCACAGAAATATTCAGCTGTTATGGAATTCCGCCATCCATCACTGTAATCAGTACACTAGGCTTCCTACTTTCCTGGAGTACCATTGCTCATCACTGTAATCGGTAGTGTGGAACCCTTCCTCTCAGTCTAAGTTAAGATGAAGTACTTAATTTGAGTGGAGGTCCTAGTGGTGGCCCCCTTAACCCAATGGGCCCATAGCAACTGCTTTAATTTTTCAATGATTAAAGAGGCCTTAAAGTGGCTGTACACCTCAGACAGATATATGAACAAAGCATATCCTTCTATAGTATGTACTTGTCTCATTTAAGAGCATTAAGTGTCATTTCTGTCTTCTGCTTCCTCTGTTGTCAGCATGAGTCACGTCTGACAGGTTTTCCTGACATCAAGAGAAAAATGGTGACAGGGGAGGGAGCTCCAGGCCAAAGCCTGTGATTGAGAGCCTCAGCTCTGTTCCTGTGTGCTGTGTGAAGGGGATGTGTCCCTTCCCTCCAATCAGCTCTCAGAACGCTCCTCACTGAGCTCTGCATATATATACTTAGTGGCCACTTTATTAGGTACACCTCTTCAATTGTTTGGTAACACAAATTGCTAATCACATGGCAGCAACTCAATGCAGTTAGGCATCTATACGTGGTGAAGACGACTTGCTGAAGTTCAAACAAGCATCAGAATGGGAAAGAAAGGGAATTTAAGTGACTTTGAACTTGGCATGGTTGTTGGTCCCAGATGGGCTTGTCTGAATATTTCAAAGACTGCTGATCTACTGGGATTTTCATGCACAACTATCTCTAGGGTTTTCAGAGCATGGTCTGAAAAGGAAAAAATATCCAGTGGGTGGCAGTGCCAGTGGAGAATGGGCATTCGATTTCAGCTGTGACATTCAGATGGTAGGATCAGAATTTGGTGTAAACAACATGAAAGCATGGATCCATCCTGCTTGTATCAATGTCTCAGGCTGGTGGTGGTGTAATGGTGTGGGGGATATTTTTAGCAAGGTGTACCTAATAAGTACTCGATGAATGTATATATACACTAAATCATTGGATTCAGGTGTTCCAATCACCTTCATGACCACAGTTGTATAAATTCAAGCACCTAGGCATGCCGACCACTTCTACAAATATTTGTGAAAGAATGGGTCGCTCTCAGGAGCTCATTGAATTCAAGCGTGGTACCGAGATAGGTTGCCACCTGTGCAATAAGTTCATCTGTGAAATTTTCATGTTATTAAATATTCCACAGTCAACTGTTAGTGGTAATATAACAAAGTGGAAGCAACTTGGAACAGCAGCAGCCCAGCCACAAAGTGGTAGGCCATGTACAATGACAGAGTGGTGCTGAAGCGCACAGTGTGTAGAAGTCACCAACTATCTGCAGAGTTAATAGCTAAAGACCTCCAAACTTCATGTGGCCTTCAGATTGGCACAACAGTGCGTAGAGAGCTTCATGGAATGGGTTTCCATTGCCAAGCAGCTGCATCCAAACCTTACACCAAGTGCAATGCAAAGCGTTGGATGCAGTGGTGTAAAGCATGCTGCCACTGGACTCTAGAGCAGTGGAGACGTGTTCTCTGGAGTTGAGGAATCACACTTCTCTGTCTGGCAATCTGATGGATGTGTCTGGTTTTGGAGGTTTCCAGGAGATCGGTTGTTTTTCAGGGGTTGGGCTTGGCTCCTTAGTTCCAGTGAGGGGAACTCTTAAGGTGTCAGCATACCCAGACATTTTGGACAATTTCATGTTCCCATTTTTGTGGGAACAGTTTGGGGATGACCCCTTCTTGTTCCAACATGACTGTGCACCAGTGCACAAAGCAAGGTAAATAAATACATGGATGAGTAAGTTTGGGGTGGAGGAACTTGACTGGCCTGCACAGAGTCCTGACCTCAACCCAACAGAACATCTTTGGGATGAATTAGAACGGAGACTGTGAGCCAGGTCTTCTCGTCAGACATCAGTGCCTGACCTCACAAATGCGTTTCTGGAAGAATTGTCAGACATTTCCATAGACACACTCCTAAACCTTGTGGACAACATTCCCAGAAGAGTTGAAGCTGTTATAGCTGCAAAGGGCGGGGCCAACTCAATATTGAACCCTACGGACTAAGAGTGGGATGCCGTTAAAGTTTATGTGCGAGTAAAGGCAGGTGCCCCAATACTTTCAGCAATATAGTGTATTTACCTATATATATATACATTACCTGTGCCATAGCAAGACATTTATATATAAGAACTATGCTGAGCTAGAGCTCCCTCTAGTATTTGGCTACGACAGTGAAATATTGTTCAGAGGCACAGAGAGAGAGAGGAGGGCCCAACAAAAGAGCTGAGAATTGTGAGATGAGCAGAGGATTGTGGGACATGTAATTCAGAAGGCTGGATTTCCAAAGGGACCAATACTGTTGTGAACTTCAAGTTCCAGATGGCTGGAAGAGGAAGTGGAGTATTGGGAGAGGATATATAAATCATACCCCGGAAGATGTGCTTTCTCTTGGGACCACGGGACAAAGCTGAGAGGAGAGACCCGGCTGCTTGTGAGAGTTTAGTAGGCCGTGAGGTCCAGACAATGTGGAGGATCTTCAGTGGGAGAGTTACATATCTACAAGCAGATCACCCATCCCAGCTTCCCCTGTCGATGGAGTGACTTTTCAGAGTCAGTTAGCAGAATCACTGCCACAGTTACAGAGAAGTCCCAGTGGAGCATGGGGCTAGGCCTGAAGCCCATAAGCTGGTGCAAATTCTGTGAGAGCCCTTCCAGGACATCCTGAATCCCTTGAGCCACAGTGTCATCAGGATTGGTGAGCAGGCTGAAGCCCACACTGTGTACACTCTTCACTATGGACACCGCACGCAGACACTTTTACCATACCTCTGATTGTAAATCTGTCAACTTTACCTGGAGTAATTTACCTACATTATCAGGCATTGGTGATCGCCATTGCACGGCAGGCAGTTTCTTTGGGGCTCCATTGAGCTAGCCGTAGATTCAGGACGCTCGTGTCTCCAAGACTCCCTTTCACTAATCTTCAAGCCAAGGACTCTGCCTCACATTGGTGCTAATACTTAAGAGGAACTCTATTTAGAATTAGTTTTATAGTATATATTATACATCTAGCTTTCTCAAAGAGTGTTGATATTTTCATGCCTGTGGCATCAGGATTCTAAGGCAGCAGTCTGACACTAATAAAGGTCTTTCTTCTCCCATTCATACTTGAGGTCCAAGGCTCTTTTTGATTATATTTGAAAGACTGTTATCTTGTTGTGTTCACTACTGCAGATACCTTTGTGTTTCACTTTGGGATTAGTAAATCGGGTTACTGTCTTAAGAAATGTTTGATTTAA